TGAAATAATATTGTTAAATTCTTATTAGTAAAATAAACTGGTTAAATAAATGTATGAATGTGTATATTGAAAATGCATTTACCCAGATGCACTGATTGATATTTCATTAAATGAATAATTTTCCTGACATATAGACATTTATTTAATAGTTTTTATTTAAATATTTATCATAAACCAAGATTAGTTAACTTGAAAAATAAAAATATAACAATTGAAAAATTTAAACTTAATTGAAATATAAATAAATAAAATTTTATATACATATTGTATATTATATTGCAATAGAATTGCAATGTTTTCTTGGTTATTATTTGTTTGATTTAGTTGCAAACAATATTTTTTTTTATCAATTATTATGTAACAAGTTTAAGTGCAAAACTATCGTCTGGGTCAATAAGAATTATTTCATTTAATAAAATCTCATATAAATACAATAGAGAATATGACAATGTTAATTTCATATTACATATATTTCCATTGATTCTATAAAGCCAATAATTATAAGTTAGTTTTAAATGGTTTTATTAATAACGTATTGTTCATCTGAAATAATGCTAAAATTCATGTTTTTATATCCAATGATATCTTGTTTTCTGAATTCTTGTATATCGTCGTGAAGTTTGTTGACGACAGGACTCAATGGCTTAATGTTTGCCATTTGTGTCAATGTATGGCAATAATCATAAGATGATTGAGAAATCTTATTGCAATGTCTTTCACTTAAACCCATGGACTTTCTGTAAGAGAGTTCCCGTTGTATATGGCTTTCCATCTCTTCAATCGATGGCAACTCCAGCTCTCGAGTCAAATATTTGATGAATAGTGAGACCTGTTTTATAAGAGACAAGTTATGAGATAATTGAAAGTTATATTTTCAAGTTGGTTTTTCAAGTAAGTTATAATAAGTAAGTTATACCTGAATGTGATAGTAAGGGAATGGTATGGGTGTCCGACATATGGCCCAAATAGCCATCGATGGATACGTTTGGTTAATAAAGTGTAAGTAAATTCCTTCAACCCGTCCACTGTTTGTGACATTTATGGCACAACTCTTATCCAGAAATGATAAGTCCAATTGATATCCAGTGGCCAATAGTATTGTATTCACTTTGTATTGATTGCCGTTTTTTAATTCAACGCCCGTTTCAGTAATTTCGTGAATTTCACTCAATTCTTGAACAATACTTTCCGATAGGTTTAGAAATGGTTCGGCATTTCTGTGACAGAAAATCACTTGTTTTGCTATTTCTGACACTTCTATGGAAATGTCAACACCGGAGGGCCCGCCGCCCAATACCAACACTACCTTTCCCTCAAAACCGTCGGCCACTCTGTAGTCATGAGTGTGTAATACCTGTCCTTTAAAGGTATGCAACCCTTTAATGTCTGTGGGAATGAATGGTATTGAGAACTTGCCGTTGCATACAAATACCGAGTCGTAAATGTGTTCACTTATTTCACCGGTTGTGATATTTTTCACCATAATTTTCCATACATTCTCAGATCTCGAAACACTTATTATCTGATGATTGAACTGTTTTTTAAAATGTAAAACAATTAATTAGTAAGATGAGTTATTTAATTAAATTATTAAATTTGCTTCACTTTTATGTATTGATATAAATTGAAATGTTTTGCGTAGTCTTCGAGATATTGAAGTACACGAGTGTGCGATACAAAGGATGTCTCGCAGTTGGAGGCAAAGTCTTGAAACTCCATGATTTCCATCGGAATATTAGTTCTGTTTTATGAGAAAATTTATCCTTATTTAGCATAATATGAATTTTAATCTAGAAAACAATTCTTAACCATTGAAAATAATGTTAAACCTAAGCAGTGAACAATGTATTTCAACTTATTGAAAAACATTCATTTTTGTGATTTTTATATTAAATGTTATCCAATACTATGAATGAGTTTTAACATTATTTTCAATTGCTAAGAATTGTTTTCTAGATTAAAAGTCATAAGTTATAAGTTTTTATGAAAATATACCTCATATTCCTATACAAACTCGTGTGTATTGGGAGTCCATTGGTGTCCAAACCGACCGAATCGGTGTAATTCCAAACGCCGCCCACTTTTGCTGTCTTCTCGTAGACATCGAAAGTGAATACTGACTGGTATTGTGATAGATGTCGGGCCGCACACAGACCGGCCGCACCCGCACCTATAACACAGGCTCGCATTCGCTTGTCTTTATGGTCTGACATATTATAGCTAGAAATTAATCTGAGACTAATCTAAAAATTTGTTAATAAAATTTAATTTAATATTTACTATTAATATTATCTACTTACGAGCAAACTTTTTTTTTAATTAATTGTTTATATTCTCCTGGGGAGGAGAAGGATTAGGCTCCACGATACTATAAACCACATTTATAAAATATAATCTGAAAATGTCTACACATTTACAGTATATGAGAAGAATGATTTTTAATAAAACAATGAAATGATAGTATATTTATAGTCATTGTCAATGTCATTAAAGAAATAAAAAGTATTAAGGAATAAATCATTAAAAGTGCTGATGGTAATAAAAAATTGTGTCAACATTGAATTATAATATATAAAGTTTTACTTGACGCAATATTTATTTAAAATTGTTTTTTATAAACTTTATATTACATTTATTTTGTTAAATTACACAAACATTTCCCAGCCTAGGTGGTCTTAGTCAGGAATCTTGCTACGTACGTGTTTGTAATTAATAAATGTTTTAATTTCAATACTGTATATGTGGCTAGATGATTATATTTTTATGTTTAGTATAATAGTTTGATTCAGGTTCACCATTGAGAATTAACATTACCCTGGTGGGTATTGTTTCACAAGGTAAATTATGTGCCATTGTTGGATTCCCTACAGTGTATACTAGGGTTGGACTGTTTTGGGATTGGATTTGCACACAATCTTGTGTTTAATTTAATTTTTTTAAATTTGTTACAAATAAATTAAAATGAAATAAAGAAATATAGTATTTGTCTGTAATAAATCGTAGTGCAATTATTTTTCAATATACAATTTTTTATTAAAGTAAATTCATTGGCGTTTAAACATAACCATGTTTTTGGAAAATAATATTGTTTTTATTTTTATTAGTAAAATAAACTGGTTAAATAAATGTATACGCATATGTATATTGACAATGCACTTACCCGGATGCACTGATTGATATTTAATTAAATTAATAATTTTCCTAACAAATATACATTTATTTAATCGTTTTTATTTAAATATTAAGCATAAACCATGATTATTTAACTTGAAAAAGTAAAAATATAACTATTTTCACATTTATTTAAATCTAATCGAAATATAAATAAATAAATACAATGTATAATGATTTATATTATACCAATAGAATTGCAATGTTTTCTTGGTTATTGTTTGTTTAGTTGTGAAAAATATTTTTATCAATTATGATGTAACAAGTTTAAGTGCAAAACTATTGTCTGGATCAATAATTATTATTTCATTTAATAAAATCTCATATAAATACAGTAAAACTTCTAGCCATCACCAAAAATTTAAATAACAATATTGTTTATTATTATTTAACTATAAACAATGTCTCAAATAAAATTAATAATTGTTTTATGCGTAATTATCATGATAATTTTTGTGTCCAATACAAACGCACAATACGGTGAGTTACCTGTATAATAATATTACAATATGTAACTAAATATAATTATCTTGATACAATTTGCAGATGATGGTGATTATGATTATCAAGATAATGGCTACGGTAGACGGCATGGATTTTATGGCATACGTTACCCCCGTGGCAGAAATAACCATGGTTATTTTGGTTATCGTAGGTATGGTCGATGGTCTAGAAATCGTGGTTATGGTCGGGATTGGTCTAACTATTACGAGTAAACCAATACATATTTTAACATTAAATATAAGCAATAATTTCAAAAGTTACAATAACTGGGAATTATAATAGATTGTAATTATTTATAAATAAAATTATAAAATACAATTAAATGATATTTAAAAAATTGTAAAAATATATTATCTATAATGTATATACATAATGTATATCTATAATAATAATAATAATATCTTAATAAAATTTATGTAATCATTAATTTATATTTTCAATTAACTATTAAACTAGACGTTAACTCAAAAGCGAGTTTTATCTGGTTGGCACAATAAAAAATTATTTATAATGGTATTTTTAATATTTTCAATATATTTTTATGCATAGTAATTTTCCAAAAATGTGGTGTTTTTATTTAAACACAAACAATTTCTTTTTGATAAAATAATTTTTTGTATTTGCTTTTTAAGCTATAATTATTATGAATTGTTTGGTTATAATTAAGTATTAAGTACTATAGTACTTTATATTGCAAATTAATTTTTATGCTCAAATGTATTTTTAATAAACATGTTGTTAATAAAATGTAACTTATTTATTACATTGTTGTTTTAAAATATTAACAGGTATTTCAATAGGCATGACATTCACCTTGATATGCATATTTATATTTATTTATTTTACCAACATCAGTTTATTCCGTGTAATAATGTAATTCAATTTTCACATTTATTTCTAACACATAAATTTAGCTAAATCAATATTTATGACAAACTTTAACATTGTATAATAAAAATAATATAATTTACTTAGAAATATAGTTTATATTAATAAACAGGAATGTTTTGTTAATGAAATTTAAATGTCTAATTATATTAAAAATGTCTAAAAATATATTTTCAAATCCTTTTGCAATGGAATTAATAATACAATTATTTATTCAGTTGTGGCAATATGTTAACAACCAAAACCAACATAATAAATCTATTTTAATAATATAATAATACATTGTGTTCAGGTGCAAAATTATTGTTTGTGTTCATATATTGATACAATATAGATTTTAGTACAAATATTTTGGCATATAAATGCTAAAAATTATGATTATTATTTTAATCAAAGCTAAAAAATTATAATCTAAAAGTTTTAAGTTTTAACAACAGTATTAAATAATTTAAAAGTATTTTTCACAGTCATTCAAAATGAACAATCCTAAACTGATATTATCTGTATGTTCAATAATCTTGATAATATTTGTGTTAAATTCACATGCTCAATATGGTATGTAATTGAATTTATTAAATTTTAAATACAATGTATTAATTGATCAATTAATTTTTTAGGCTATGGGGGCTATGGTTATCAAAATTACGGATATGGTTATAATCCGTATAGCAGATATAACCTTGGTTATTCAGGATATGGTCGACTTGGTGGATATGGTTATGGCAATGGTTACGGCAATGGATACGGCAATGGATACGGTGGCGGATATGGTGGTGGTTATGGCCGTTATTGGCCCAACTATAATTATTAAATCTACATTGGTTAATCTTGTTTTTTGCATTACCAATGACTTTAATTAGAATCATAAATCTATTTATATAAGTTTAACATGGCATTCTTCAAATAATATTTAATTAGTTTATTTACTTGTATCAAGTGATGGTTTACTTTTTTTGTTAAAGTACAATTTTTATTTATTTATCATACTATTGTACTATTATCATGCTATTTTTTTAATGTTAATTATTTTGATTGTTTAAAAATTAAATAAAAGTGAAATTAATTACATAAACCTAATATGATAATTTTAATCTTGCACTAATAATATACAAAAATAATTGTGTAAAATTTTGAATCTAATGTTCAACAATATTTTTCTTAATATAAATGTATATTATATCATATAATTTATAATTAATTATGATAAAAACGTTTTCATTCATACATTTTATTATGCACATTAGTCATGTTTGATCAGGAACTTTCTATAAGTTACTGTATTTTTAATTAATGACATAAACCAATTCATTAATTTACCTATCAACAATATTCCGTGAGAATACGGATTTAGAAACTACTATTTAAATAGCTTTCACGTAAAATTATTATATTCATTACACTATTTAATGATTGTAATATCATACCAAAAATTACATCTAACTATATCATTTAACAAACTTAATAATGTCTAACATAACAATTAAAATCACATATTATTTAATTTTAATTCTGTTACTTGTGACGTACATCAAAGCTCAATATGGTAAAATACATCACGATTAATAAATATTAAATTATTTTAATAACACAACATAATTAATTTTATAAAGGTAATTACGGTAACTATGGTTATGCCGGATACGGCCGGTTAGGTTACGGCAGATACGGTTTATACGGTCGGCGATACCCCTATCGGAGAGTTAATAATGGCTACGGAGTCAGTACTTATGGCTACGCTCCTAATAGGGGTTACTATGGCAACGGTGGGTACGGTGGCTACCGGACCGGTTATGGAAATGGTTACGGATTGTATAGACAGTATAGAAATTACGGTCGATATGGTTATTATGGAAAATGATCGAGTTTACAAGTCAAGTTTTTTATACACATCATACTAATTTATTTTAAATCATTTTTCTCTTTATTGTCCATGTTAATCACATGTATTGTTTTGAATTGTTGTGCTTAATTAGATATTGCTTGCTAATAATTAATATTGATTATTTTATATAAATGGCAACGACTAAAGGGTCCGGGCCCGGAAAACATTTTTTCTATGTACGGCAATATCAATATTTTGACGGTCGATCGGTCGACCCAAATGCCGATCAAAGTGGGCCCGGATGACACGGGCCCACCACTTTTCCGTCATTTTCCACATTTTCACGGAAATTTTTTTAATTGATTTTACTGTAAATTACACCTCCCTTAATTCAATTAAATTAATTTTTCATTAAATAAATTTATTTTTAACTAAATTTTATGATAAAAAATTTTCCGTGAAAATGTGAAAAATGACGGAAAAGTGGTGGGCCCGTGTCATCCGGGCCCACTTTGATCGGCATTTGGGTCGACCGATCGACCGTACAAATATGGGTATTGCCGTACATAGAAAAAATGTTTTCCGGGCCCAGACCCTTTAGGCTTTGCCTATATAAATTGCAATTTTATAACAATTTCAAATATTTTTTAATTATTGTTTAATTATTGTTAATAACTGTTTTAAAATGTTTATCAAAATAAAAAACATTATTTTTTAAATAGGAACCGCAAAATGTTTATTAAATAAATGCTTTATTTATCAAAATCATACGTGAACATAATTAAGTCATAATTAAATCACCAAGCACAGCCTTATTAAGTACAAATAAATGCAACTAGACGGCGCAGGTGCTGGCATCGTATTTAGCGCAGTCATCCTGTAGTTTTAAGTGTATGGCCCGTTGGGATGTGTCAAATGCTTGTTTGTCCACCCCGGTACAGGTAACACCAAGGTCCATTTGGCACTCGTAGGCTTGCCATTGAAAGCAACACCATTTTTGTTTGGAATGACCGACTGTTTCGCTTATACCCCAATCGTTTTTGGCCGTATTGTAACAAACGCGCATTTCAGCAGGGTCGGGGCACATGGGCTCGTTACCTAGTACTGTTTGTATAATCAACAGGGTTGCCGTGATTATGAGTATGGTAATTGTGCGCATATTTTGTGGTTTCTAAAATAAAAACGCAACTATTATTATAAGTAGTTCAACATAATAATAATTTTAGTTTAAATATAGTTAGTTATTAGTTTACATTAATTTACCTTTTAAAAAGTGCTGAAGTTATGTGGAATAAAATTTATTATAAATAATAAAAGTATAATTGATAAATTTCTTAGTTTAAGTAATTCGTTGTAGTATTTAATGTTTACAATTTTATACAATGGCTGCAAATTTATCATTACATTTCCTGTTTACACATGATAACAATTCTTGTAAAAATAAGCCATGGTAACAAATAATTATGATAAGCAATGTTACTTATTAACAATGATTAAACATGTAATTCTGCGTTGAATTTAATTTTATTCCAAAACTTGTTAATGAATTAACTTATTCACAAATGTACATGGCAGAGTATTTGTCAGTATTATATTATGTAATTAACCCCGAATAAATTTTTATAAATATAGTGTATAATAATGAACTCTAGTAATAATAATAAGAGATATTAATTAATCAAGAATTTCTTCCTTCACAAGATTTCTATAGTATTTTCGGTCGACTTTTCCAATACTAGTCCTCACGATTTGGTCCACGAATACCACACCACCGGTCAGTTGTTTAGTATACGCCAGAGTGTCTAGGTAATTAATAAATACAATTATTTGCATTGCAGCCAGCAAATCAACCATGATATCAAAATAAATTCTTACCTGAAACAAACTTCTCAATCTCAGCGCTAGTAACAATATGTTCAATTTTGAGCACAACATAAGCCCGGGGCCGATGAGTGCCCGCCTTGTTATTGACGCCCACAACAGCCACTTCAGCGATGGACGGGTGGGTCAGTAAGTATTGCTCGATCTCTACGGGAGATATATTGATATAGTGTTGACCCACTCCTATGCGCACCACTTCTTTAAGCCTATCCGTAATAAATATACACTCCCTGTCGTCGTAGTGCCCGATATCACCCGTCCTATACCAGCCCTCCCCGTCCATCGCCTCAGTCCAGGCTTTCGTGTTGTTTCTATAGCCAGTGATCAAGTTGGCACCTCGAATGCATATTTCACCATCATGGTTTGGGCCAAGACTTTCGCCCGTGGTCAGATCTATCACTTTTAACTCAATGCCGGGGGTTATATGACCGCAATTACCCGGTTCATACTGAGTTGCACCTATATTTGGACTTGTAACCGGACAGCATTCAGTCATACCATAAGCTTATCAAAAAAATTATTATAATAAAATATTATTAATTCTCAAAATAAAATAAATAAAATTTATAAAACATATTTTTAAAAATAAAAAAAATCTATAACTAGATGCTTGTCCACAAACATACCTTCTCCAAAAATCAAGCCGTACTTATCAATGAACACGCGGGCGATATCGGACGGAAACGCAGCTCCGCCGGAGAACAGCATTTTTAAACTAGACATATCGTATTTGTCCAACAGACCATGGTCCACCAGCTGTTTACATATATTGGGAAATATGCCCAACGAGTTAATGAGATATTTTTCTACCGATTGTGCGATAAACTCGTCGTCGTAATCGGGAAACATGATCATGGTGCCACCCGTGCACAGTTGCATAGGCAGGCCAAAAGTGCCCGACATGTGCCCCAACGGGTAGAGGAACGAGCTGACCATGCTGGCCCTAGTGCTGTTATACATGCGGACGTTGTTCAAAATCATTCTGTGCGGCACCTGGGCACATTTGGGCGCACCAGTTGTGCCCGATGTGTGTATTAGAAACAGGGTCTCGTCTCTTGATTGTACGTCAAAGTGGGGCACTTTAGCCAACTTTGCGCCCAACCCCTGCCCCTCCTCCCGGAGCCGGTCGTACGTCATGTGTTCGTCATGTTTGCCATCAAACACCACAACCAATCTAATCTCATCATTATTATTACTGTCTAATAAACTGTTGAATTTATCAAGATCTCTGGCCGAGCACATGACAATGTCTGCACCAACAGCCCTGACCTCTTCGGTGACCTCGTACTCTCCAAAGGTGGGGCTGAGGGGCATAAATGTGACGCCAAGTAGTTGTACGGCAACTCTGAGTACTGCGTGTTGTATAGAGTTTGGGCCGTAAAATGCGATCAGCGATGACTGATTGATCCCCCGGTCCAGTAGTGCTACCGCTATATTACTGGCCGCCTGTTTGACCGCACCTATCGTTATGGACTTTTCAGTTACTGCATCGATCTAGATAGTTTTATTGTAATTAATACAATAGTTAATTAATTAGTTTGTTATTTGTTATGCATTGTTATGCAAAATACAAAGTATAATCATAGCTTAAAATTACCATGCATATTTTATCCTCGTTAATTTCTTCAAGTCGTTTCCAAATAAATTCACCGACACTTTTAAATGGACTTTCCACTAGTTCAGTGCTAGAGCGTAATATTTTGTCCATGACCATTTTTATAATTTACTATGTATAACACTTTAAGTACTGCAAATAAAAAACTGTTTGAATTTTAATTAAGTTGTGCTTACTTTGTAACAGAACTTAATGAATGAACATTTTCTCTCGTGATTTATATAGATTGTAAATATCATAATAAAACTATTAAGATAAGTCAATTGGTAAAAATGGTTATATTAATGTTAAACAACATGTTCTCATTAGAATACAAATCCTTGAAGCAACTAACTATTAAAACACTTAAGAGTACACTCAAGTGCAAATTTTTTAAATTGTCCTAAACTGTGTAACTTATGTACTACTTTAGTTGCACTAATGTTTGCATAATAGTACCTCGGTACAAATGGCACAAAATGGACATGTACATAAATTAATTGAGGTGTATAGCACTAAATAATTATTAATATATCCACAATAAAATGTTATTTAATTATCCATTATGATAAAGTTTATAATATTAGTATAATATAAGTTTTAGTACTCATAATATCTTGATTATAATTTTTAAGCATATATTGTATTAAGTATACATGTATATTAAGTATGTATTAAGTACAGTATACAATAGTGTATATTAATAGTGTAAATTATTTAACAGTAATTCTATATTACATAAATTTAATATTAATAATAATTTTAAATAAAGTTTTAAAATTTGATTTCATAAAATTTAGTATTATTATTTAAAAATTAGCCAGAGCATTAGTTTCTTATGTCATTAATCAATATTTAATTTTATTGTTATTGTAGAATAATTTGTTGGCCAATTGTTGACCATTTATCTCATTAAACTTACCATGTTTAAAGATTTTATTAATACAATGAAACTGTAACTTTATTTTTTGTTACATTTTCCTATAACTTAAATTTAACTCTTAAAATGCATAAAGGTTATTAAATTCTATTTAGATATTGCACACTATACAGTATTTTTAAAATAATAATTTAAAGTTATATATTATTAATAGCAACCACAGATAATTTATTTAAAGAATGTAAACTATTAATTGTGTTATTATTTTTATTGCATTTATAATACCAATTATTGGGAAACATTATTTGATCTCATTAAGTTTATTTTTAGTTGCTTAAATTGATAATAATTTAAGTTACATTGAAACAATAAAGACAATTATAAGGTTATGTAATTATTTTATTTTATTAAAAGTTAAAATTTACTTGTTGAATTAAGATCTTAGCACTTAATTAATCTTTGTACTTAATATACCAATATCTAATCAACATTATAAATGCAGTGGTTTTTATGTAAACATTATGCGTACAAATTATGGGTAAATATATTTAAACAATTTAACATTTGTTAAAATAATCAAACAAGTACAAATAAACTTATCGTTATAACTCAATGTCCTAAAACTTAATTTTATATTTAATATGTTTAATTAATTATTTAAAATATTAGTCAAATGGTGAGCTAGCGAATAAAATGTTTTGTGTACTTTATTTTCACACTAATTTAAAATGAAACCAATGTAAAAATGTAATAATTATTTTAAACTAGAACTAAAACTGTAAATGTTATAAGTTTTAACTTATGTATTTAGTATATGAAGAAAACATTAATTTTGCTGGACTTTGTCACAATTAATGTAGTATTGATAAAGTATTTATTTTTCTGTTAAGCCTAATATACCGCACGACTCTTCCCTCATCACAAACTTTTTCACTTTCCCGGCAGGTGTTAGCGGAAAGCTGTCCACGAATAACACGTACCTGGGTACTTTAAAATGTGCAATCTAGTTCAAATAATAAGCAAAATTCATATATTAGCTATATAAAATTTTATTATAAATATTGTAAATGTTATTAGTACAATTGAAAAATAAGTGTAATGTACCTTTTGTTTGCAAAACTCTTTCACCTCGCTCTCGGTAGGCTTGACAGCGGCGTCTTTAACCTGAATCCATGCGCACAACTCTTCGCCCATTCTATCGTCAGGCACTCCACACACCTATCATAATAAAATTAAATCTTGATAATACTCAGAATTATTCTTATCATATAAGGTTATAAATGTCACTTACATAGGCGTCCCTTATAGCCGGGTGTGAGTGTAGCAACTCTTCCACTTCGCGGGGGTATATATTTTCGCCGCCCCTTATGATCATCTCTTTGGTGCGACCGATGATCTTGATGAAACCTTCCTCGGTCATAACAGCCAGGTCACTTTGTATAAAATAAGTGTATTAGTTTAATCTATATTGATTTTGCGCATTTTTAATTATATTACCCCGATTTATACCACCCGCTGGCATCAATCGCATCATGGGTACTTTTGGGGTTACGCCAATAACCTATCATTTGATTATGACCTCGAGATTCTATTTCACCAGGCTCACCGATTTTAGTAATTTGTCTCGTTGCCTGATTCACTATTTTTGTTTCCATATGATCAATGGGTCGACCTTGGTTTAAATGATAGCATAATTGACTAATTAACTTAACCATATGTAATTATACAATTATGCTAAAATAATTGTATTCATTTGTCACATACCAACTGTTTCAATACGATTGTATAAACTATCCGATTGGCGCGATAGTGAACCACTACAACCTATATAGATTGTGAAATTAGTTGTATTAAATAGTTCATTTTCAAATTAACTCGTGTCAATAAACGATGCTAGCTCGTACCAGCTTCCGTCGCACCCCAGGCCACCCGGACATCTGTGCAACTTGGTATTACTTTTTGCACTCGATAGGCCACCTCTTTGGGCATGGGCGAACCACCCGCTATCAGACCTCTGAGCGAGGGCAATTTGAGTTTGTTTGACTCCAGATAGTTGACCGTGTCAATGATCATGGTAGGCGTGCCGTATAAATAGCTGCACTCATTTCGCGCCATTGACTCAACCATTTGTTTTACGTTGTATTTGCAGTTCGGTATTACTATAACAAGTGAATGGCGAGAGAGAGAGAGAGAGAGAGAGAGAGAAGGTTTGTCAGGAAATCAAATAAAGTATTAATAAACTATTTTTTACCAAGTTTATATGGAGTAGCACACATGCCCAAATTACCAAGCAGACCGAATGTGTGAAAAAACGGCAATGGTAAACATAATGATTTTTCATCGTGGTCCAAATCGTATGAATTAGCAACTATTAGCGCGTTGTTGCCTATTATATAAAATTCATTCAATATCTTCATGTATTATTTACTTCATTTGACTTTACCAAGCGTAAAATGTGTTAAATAAGCGCCTTTTGGTTTACCAGTAGTTCCCTTATAGTAATTATTAATAAATAAATGTTATAAATATAATACATGTATATAAATTTAATGTACATACTGATGTGAACATAATAATAGCCGGATCATCGGATGTGACTTCATCAAGCACATTTTGTTCAATAATGCCATCATTAGCGATTAAATCACTTAATAGGTATTCAGGTATATTTAACTTATTTAAGTTATCGAGTTTATATTTGTCGCCATCCATTATAATTACTTTTTCAATAAGTAATTTATCACCATTTTGCTAAACAATTAATTATAATTTAATTTATTGTTGTAAAGTAATAATTATTTATTAATTATTAAAACTTGCCTTATTTGATTCACTAAGCACTTGATCAAATACTTTGGCAAAATTATTGACAGCTCCCTGTTTACTGTCACTACCAGGCATGAATAACATTTTAACTTGGGCATTTCTCAGCACATAATCTAGCTCACTAGCTAGATACGCCGGATTAATTGAACATTGTATCAATCCTATTCTAGCGCATGCAAACTGGATTTGTTGCTAAATAAAAAATTAATTTATTATGTTTAATTTATAAAACTATACAATAATTAATTACATACCCAGTAGTAAGTGTTAGCACTCCATAAGCCAACAACATCACCACGTTTTAATCCTAAATAAAATAGTTTTAAGATTATAAATCAATAATCTTATATAAATAAATATAAATAAATATTTAATAATTAAATTTATGAACTTACCTAATTCTAATAGTCCTTTAGCTAGTTTATTTACATCTGTATTTAATTCGCCATAGGTTTTAGTGATGTTCTCGTAATCACTAGTTAGCGCTGTTTTATTTGGTCCTGGTATAATTAAAATTAATTATTTATTTTGTTGTTCATAATCGTTGACTTACTAATTTCAGCTTGTTTAGTTAATAAATCAGCCAGTCTAATGTAAGAAAGACCAAGTGTACTCCGGCCGTAACAGTATGAATAGGGTAAAGTGACATGTGGTCTAAATTATTAAATTAAATAACAAATGAGTAAATAATTACATGAATTGATTAAAAATAAATTTAGGCATACTTACTTTAAATTTTCATTTTTATTATTGCATTTAAGTGAATTATGCAAACATCTCACAAATGAATTATGATGATGACTTTTTAGACTTATCAATGTCTGTTTAAATAATGTTGATGTCACATTGAAATATTGTGCATTATACATTATGCTGACAGAGGTATTGCAAAAATCAGGTAAAATATTTTATTTTTTAGTTAAAATATTAGTTTTAAAAATATATAATATGTTTAAATATTTATCACAAAATTGTTTTCAAATTAAGTTTATATTAATTTTATCACAAAAATATAAACAACTTAATGTCAATGTCTTGATTATTTAATTAATATATGAACGTACTTTACACTCAATATCTAGTTTAGAAATTTTGGATTATTCAATAAGTCTAATCAGTACACAATTTTCAAATATTAATAAATATAATATTATAACCAAATTTTAAATGCTTTATAACTTATAATATTATAATTAAATTTATTATTTTATTGAGTCGCACATTGTATTAAATAAATATTGCTGGGTGTATTAAATAAGGATAGTTATGCATGTATTATGCTTTATATGTAAATGTAAAACAAAAAAATTGTTCAAGGTAAAATCGATCTTAGTTTTCATAACCTTGAAAGAAATTCATAATTACAAAGCTTTTTTATTTTTGATTAATTGTTAGGAATATCATTAATTTATTAATAATTGCATGAGTTTTCATGTTTTATGCTTATTAATGATTAATATGAGTAGAGGTACTCGAATATAAGCTTGCACATGTGCAGTAGATGTCTTTATTTAAAAGCCAATGACAGAACAGACAACACAAATTAGTTAAACAAAATTAGTTTATTTATTTATTTTTTCAATTAAAGCATAGCAATGATAATGAATGCCATATCCTTTAGTCCAATAAAGGCGAATTATGTATTCTTCGCCGACAACCCATCCAATCACTGATTGAACCGGAGGTTCATCAGATTCCTCTTCCTCCTCCTTCTTCTCCGCCTCTTCCTTCTTCTTATTGCTTTTCTTCTTCTTCTTCTTGTCTATTTTAGGTGAGCAGTAGTTCTCAATTCTTATGCCCGCCTTATCAGCAAAAGCAAACAAATGGTCGCTATTTGTAGGGTTGTACTTCCCCTCCTTTACCAAACAGATGTCGTGAAGAGATGCTAACGATTAAACATATGATAAACAAAAAGTTGTAATAAATAATGTAATATTTAAAAGCAAATAGATTGTTACCTTTATCGATACCCTTCGCTCCCATGTTTGTGAAGAGAAACAAGAGCCTCACAATTGGCCAATAAGAGTCTTTGGAGAACAGTTGGAGACTCAGTGCGCCCACAATACAGTGACCTTGCTTGTGTGTTTCGATGGCCACCAAGTTCATTCTCTTCACATCTTTATTGTGAACAACAATCTTTGATCTTCGTGGCTTAGCTCCGCCCGTAATAGATGCGATGACATCATTCAAAAAGTTCTGATTGAACTTTGGCAACACTTTAGTCTCCTTAGCGTTGTAATCCTTGAATACTTTAATAGCATAATTATTCCAGTCGTTAATAGATTTGGATTCAACGATTGGAATTAGTGTAGGAGAAGGTCTGAAGGTCGATATCAAATTATCTTTGTGATCATCAACATATTTGTTGAACCATTGATAGGTCGTACGGGTGTCAGCCTAGTAATAGCACGTATAGCATATAATATATATATATATAAAATAAACAAAAAAAACTCTTACCTTTGCGATGCCACATTTCGATCGAAGTGTTGATATAGGACCAGAAATTGCATCATCATTAGGGCCCACAGATATTAACGGGTTGAAATTTAATTGTTGACACGTTTTAATGAATGTTTTAAGCTTAATTTCGCTTTTATTTTTGGTGACAATTACGAGATGAGTATCAGGAGCGGCCATAACGTAAACAATAACATTGAGTATATTTAAAAAGGGACTAAACTTACGGGGCCTAACTATAAATAATGTCGTACAAGGGGGCTTATAGTAGAGTATTAACCCCCTTTCAACTAATAACCATAGACCTAAGCCAGGGAAGGGAGGCGCAGGGGGAGGGGAGGCGTAGGGGAGGGGAGGGGGAGGGGGTAGGAAGGGGGAAGAAGAGAGGGGAGGGAAGATAAGGGGGAGGGGATGTAGGGGGAGAGAAGATAGGCAAAGGTCCACTAAATACATGATTTTAATTGTTAATAATGGAAAAATTACCTGACGTCACAGTCTGATTTTATGGTATGTTAATCTACTTGATATTACCTTTAAATCAATGTATAATAAGTAAGAAAAAGTTAAGGGGTTTAGTTATAATTGCAGTTTGTAAATATTCATAGTTAAACAAATGTATAACAATAAAATATTAATTACAAGAGCATTACCTGACGTCACAGTCTAATTTTATGGTATGTTAATCTACTATAAATTACCTTTAAATCAATGTATAATAAGTGAGAAAAAGTTAAGGGGTCTAGTTATAATTGCAGTTTGTAAATATTCAAAGTTAAACATATGTATAACAATTAAATATTAATTACAAGAGCATTACCTGACGTCACAGTCTGATTTTATGGTATGTTAATCTACTATAAATTACCTTTAAATCAATGTATAATAAGTGAGAAAAAGTTAAGGGGTTTAGTTATAATTGCAGTTTGTAAATATTCAAAGTGAAACATATGTAGGGTTGTGACACTCGGTAAATTACAATTTTACCGTGGTAATTTACGGTAATTTACATGTAAATTACCAAGTTTTCTGAATCTTACATGTAAATTACAACATTCAAATATGTGACTTGTCAAAATATTCAATTGATCCGCAAAATTGAAACTCAATTACCGTTTTGTTGACAATTCATATAAAAACACATTGATTTCAATCACTCACTCATTCATGCATTACGTTATGCAGTGTTTGGGCGCACAGTATGTGTCTTTCACTTTTCATATACATTAATGTATTAATGCTAGGGTTGTGACACTCGGTAAATTACAATTTTACCGTGGTAATTTACGGTAATTTACATGTAAATTACCAAGTTTTCTGAATCTTACATGTAAATTACAACATTCAAATATGTGACTTGTCAAAATATAAAGAACTTTTGGTATTAGTCATGTCCAAAATGACAATAATTGAATAATTTTAAAAAACTTTAATTTTGAAAATTAATTATTACTGGATTTATAACTAAAATTGATATAACTGAGAGACAATAATGACTTTATTAATAATAAATGACGATAACAAGTGTTTTTATTTATTATTTTTGCTTCAAAAATTATAAAAATTCCGAACTTAATTGTAATTCTTATAGTACTTCTGTAGATTTTAATTATATTACAAGTGATAACTATCGTAATTAGGTATATAATTAATATTCCATAAAGAACTGAACCTTAATTAAATTTATTTGTGGAAAATTACCAATTTTACCAAATATTACCGTAAATTACCGAATATTACCTGTAATGTAAGATTGAAATGAATATTACCTTATAATTAATATTCCATAAAGAACTGAACCTTAATTAAATTTATTTGTGGAAAATTACCAATTTTACCAAATATTACCGTAAATTACCGAATATTACCTGTAATGTAAGATTGAAATGAATATTACCGGTAAAGTAACAACCCTAATTAATGCTTAACAAAGGGGACAACAAATACTGTAAAGCTGTAACGTTATTGTGAACGACCCGTTAAAAGGTGTTCATAAATGCGGTACAACTTTTGTTTGGAAACTTATTGGAAAAAAGTGATCAATTGTTAACACGTTATCATTTTAGGCCAACTTATAATTTATAAAGTATTTGAAAACAGTTTAATTGTGTTTTACGGTATGACTGAACAATAGTTATGGTAATAGTGTTATCGCTTTGAGATGTGTATTGTTTGAAAGCATTTGAATACTTATTTAACGGCATTTTACAGAATATTCTTTACCGACGATTGGTTTCCATAGCAAAGAACTGAGTGATGAATAATGATATTGTGATAACCATTGTCTTCATATGGATTTTATTACTCGTATGGTTTGTGTGGAATCTGATTGTCAATTGTTTGTGTACAAGAGATCCGACAGAAGTCCGTC